TGCTAAGAACATTGCAGTGAGCAGTTTCATTGTTAATTCTAAGAAATCCTACTTAATTTTAAAGGTTTCTTTTAACTCTCTCCTCCCTCCCACACACAGAGATTTTCAGTTTTCCCCACAGCTCTCAGAGGAAAAAAGAAAAAAAATACAATGTACCACTTTTCTCATTCCCCATATTGAGATTCTGGTTTTATTTCAAACTTTCATTTCTTAAGTAGGGAAATACCAATGGCCCGAGCCTGTCAATGCAAGAAGAAAAGGTTTGCAACCTGAAGGTCTGTGGTTTTGTCTGGTGGTGTTGAGTGTCAATGAATTGAAGTGTCGATGAAGCCCAACCGTGGTACAAGTGGTACTCAGCACACTGTGCAAGATAAGCTCCTGCAGGCATTCGGGACTTGTGGAAGTGTTGGTCACTTGTGGAAAATGAGGTTTACAGAGCAGGAGTGATCGCCAGTGCATATCTGGGAACAAAGCTGGGCAGGTAGTTTGCTGTAGCTCTCCAAAATAAAACCAAAATTTTCTTAATGTTCAATAGGAATCGATGCTTAAACCTTTGCTCCATCAGAAATAACTGGTTGATACAGCATTTCATTGCTTTCAACTCTAAATTGAGCTCTCTGAAATAAAGGGCAGTAGCATATCTGGAGATAAGGAATACTCTTGCTCTTTTTCCAAAGCTTTATGATGCTGTACCTATTCATGGTTTCCTATTGACTCATTTTTTGTGACACCTGCACTGATCACCGATTTAAGGGTGTAGCTAAGAACGGTCAGGGTTAAAAAGATTGTGCTTAGCTACTCACCACCTCACTCTGAAAATATAAGCAGGATAAGAAACAGGTGCAGCTGGAAAGACACCAGCAGATCTGACAGGGCTGTTAACCTCCTCCCTTGGGTTATTTCCACCAGTGCATGTGAAGAAGAACCAGCAGCTGTAACATGTTAAGGTTAAAAAAGCTGCAGCTGGAAGATCTCATCTGGCACCACACTGCTGGCAAGTCGTAAATCACAGGTGAAGCTTGTGGAAAGGCTGGAATCCAAAGCTCCCACTCCTTACCCTGGTGCTTTTGTCTCAGTGTCCTGGCTGATAAACACAGCCATTAAGAATAGTATCAGCTTCTGCATCATTGAATGGCAGTGGTGGCCAAGAGCTCTATGCTGAAAAGCATACTTTAAATTAAACCGTAAGAGTCCTCTAACTAGCTCAAACAACAGTTTTACACCATAATCTGATCCCACAGAAACATCTGAGATGTGGCTCAAGGCACTGCATTCAGCAACTTACACAGATTCCAGTTGAATGCCTCTCAATCTTTATCGCAATATGCTTAGACAAGTTAGCAGGATAGGTAGGATGAGGGTATGTCTCATAGGCCAATGGTAGGGTTAACTTGCCAGGTGTGCCTCACCAAAACCACAGCCTGAGTTCAGGGCATGCAAGGTGTCTCAGGGGTTCTGCCTTTCATCATAAAAATGGAAAACAAACTCTAAAAAGTGGCGGTATTTTGCAGAACACCACATTCATGCCACTCTTTGGAGGACACTGAATGTGAGAGCTTCTTTCAGAGGTGAGCATCAAGGCTCTACTAAATGTTCATTAAACAAATATGTCAGAGTCCCATACCATCTGTAGATAAAAAAGGTCTTGGAAGAATTAAGTACTTGATCCAGGTGATGTGGTGAACCAGGGGCAGAGGCAAAATTGAAATGCAGGAATCTGCTTTTAAGCTCAGTTTTAAACAGAAGTTTTAGCCTTGTTTTTTGCTCAGCTACACGTACACAAGCCAAGCAGCACACAGCTTCTCCAAAAGAGGAGACAGATGAAATTTGCTGCCATTGGGCTTTTACATAAAAACCCTTGTAACTACACAAAACACCTTTGACACCAAGAGGTCTCCAGTCAGCTCTGCAAATCTCTCTCCTCAGATGTGACAGAAAGATCTGCGCCTTAATTTGTTCTCAAATCAGAATTGTAGTGCTTTGGTAGTTTTAATGGCAAGAATAGATGAGCAGAATCAGTTTTCATTACAGTCAGTGTGGATTCCTTTGCTATTAAGAAACCCAAAAACATGTATTTACAGTAAAGGGTAAATAAGTGTCATTAATCTCCATGCCTAGTATTTTAAGATGTCTAACATGCAGATAAGTAATGGCACAAGTGTGAAAGGGTAGGAACAAGGTAGCTGGGAAACACACGAACAACAATCATTACTTATGACCCTAGAAAACTGGAAATCATTTCTCTGTATTAGAGCTGTAAGTCACTTCTGCCAGATGAGACAACCTGCTATGTCTCATTTCCAGCATTTATATCAGATTTATCATTCATTAACCAAAAATGTGGCAAGAACACCTCTTCTGGGATTTTATCTTTCATGTTTGATGCCAAGAAACTTTGTTTAGAGCTACTTCACATAGTTTTTGCAGCCACTTTCCAGTGAGTGGGCGAGGAGGGTATGGAGTTCAAATACAGATTTAGGAACGATCAATGAATAAAACAAAACCATCTCCTTGTTCTGCCAACTCATGCTTTTACTGTAGTTTCAGAGCTGTTAATTTCCTTCTCCTGACTTCCAAAGTGCAACTCTTATTTCAAGAGAAAGTAAATTGGCACTGATTTCCCTGCAATTAGTTTGTTCCTTCTGCACAAGCAGAGTACTACACTGTGGCCTCTCAGTTTGCTGGAGGTGACTGTTGTCTTATATTTCCTAAGGAAAGGAGATGTATGCAACCATATGGAGCAAGGGTTCCCTACTGATAACTGTGAAAGACACTGGGAATATTTGTACAGTCCTATCTGACAGAGTGGCAGAAATATCAAAGATATCTTACAATGCCCCAGGGTTTGTCAAAATAGGTGTCCTGGCAGAAGAGAAAGTCATTATTTGTCTTACATGGGAGACAAGCTGCAGTGTTGCCCACATTATTTTCACAGCAGAGTATACAGAGGAGAGAGGGCTTAAAAACCTTCCCAGTTACACTGCAGGACAACACAAGCAGCCTGCAGTTGGCAGCTTGTAACAGCTCATAACTTATCAACAGTTAGCATCAGTAAGTTATGATTGAATTAGCTCTCCTTCCAAGTAAATAAAGAGAAAAACAATTAATTATTACTTATTAATGTTATTAATCAATTATTAATGTGAGACTTGAGGCTACCTCATCAGACCAGCAGGGGCTAAGGAAAGCCAGGGAAACAGTCCTTGCAAAGACACAGAAAAGCATTAACTCCTGAGTGAAGAAAAAGAGCCACTGAAGAAAGTGGAGGCATTATCAACCTGAAACAAAAACCAGGGGAGATTAGAAGAGGGGAACAGGACAAGGACACTTTGAACTTCAAGCTGAATCCCAGTGGACCTCTGAGTTCAGGTTTGAGACTCCTGATCAGGGAATTGTTATTGGCACCTACGTGCTCCTGCTCAATTTTCAGTTGTACATGGATCTCGTTAAGCCTGTCTGTTAGAGGATAGACTAAGTTACTTGACAGCTCAGATGTTAACTACTCAGATTTATAACTTTATTAGCAGCAAGAAACATCTAAATCCAAGATTGCAATCAACCACAAAACAAATCCTTAAAAAAATAAAGCAGACTACATTATTTTCAGGGCTTTTCAACCTACTTCTTATGCCTGCAAAACAAAAACTAAGACAAGTCAGACAGAATTCAAGGCTTAAGGGCCCTGGTCTCTACTCCACCCCACACCACAACAACACACAACAGAAAGTTTCAGTTGGGCAGATTTACCCAGAGCAGGAGCTCTGCACAGGTGCCTCTACAAACAAACCAACTCCGTGGAAAGCGCAGTCCATGTAGTGCAACTCAACAGCTTGATGGCTTTCAGATCCCACATCAAGGCTCAGAAAGAAACAAAAGCTTTCTTGCAACCTGAAAGCAATAAGAGATGCTAAATGTTGTCTTGCATCTTTGCTTTTAAATGAGCACTTTTCAGAGCTTAATTGTATTTACTCAATCCAGCAGCATTCAGTAAGACATCACACACCCTTCAAACCCTCCACACAACCCCCTCATCCTCTCTGGCACCTTCCCTTTCCCCAGGCCCTGTGGAGAATGGAGCATTTCCAGTGTTCATGGCCTGCACAAGTCCTGGGAGCAGCACAAGAGCTTGAACGCCATCATCTGAGTTTCTGAGTTAACTGCACATACATAGGACATCAGTGCTCACGCCACAATAACGTAAATCCATATTGCAAATGAAGGTCTGGTGACATGGCATATCAAATGGAAGTGTAAAGCTGATTTTTTCAGGGTATTGTTTGGATCACAAATCTAGCTTCATCTTAACAGTTCTTCTGTACATTAGTTTGAGTGAACAACGCAGAAATGAGCCTCATGGTAGCAATTAGTTTTGCATATTGCCCCTTTTCTGCATTTCCTACATTAAACTAAAAATCAGTATTACAATGAGAAAAATCTACTAGACAATGTATATCTGACAACAAGCTGCACCTCTAATAGACTCATTTTCCACTCAGAATAGGGTGGCAAATAAAACAAGACAAAACATAAAAAACTCCAACAGCAAATGAGATGTGGAATCAAAAGCCTTTCACATTCTCCATTTTAAATCTGTCCAAGAAATGGTTACAGACATGGCTGGGAACACTGTAGTGCCCTTATTTATCTTATGAATTTATGTGCTTTCCTAGAAAAAGAATAGAAATCTCAATAGTAGACACCATTAACATCAGAAAGAAGCTATAATTTTGGTGAAATACCAACAGTATTCTGTAAGCTACGGACCCGTATTTATGTTATATTCCATCAAAGATTACAGACTTTCGAACTTGCATCACTGCAATGGTGTATGTATAGGATGATTAAAAAAACCTGATGCCTACCTATTGGCCAAAAACTTTGGAAGACAGGCCTTTTCTTGCTTCCAGATTGAAACAACAAACGAAAAAAGTCATAGTAGAGTACAACATGGTTAAGTGAATCTACAAACAGAATCAACTTCATAAAGCTAAGCAAAACTTTTAGAAATATCTCAAGATAGATTCATCCCAAAGTATCTCCTCTTCAATTTTGCCATCCGTTTGTGGCTTCTTATCCTTGTTGTTCTTTTTTCTCTCTTTCTTAGCAGGGTTTTCTTTAAGTCTTTTGCCTTTACAGGGCACTGACTTCTTCTCATTTATGACATCTGTCTCTAATTTAATTCTCTTCTGCTTCTCATTTTCTTTTCTAAAATCTGTACCTTCACTATTTTTCTTCTTTCTTTTCTGCTTTGCGGCTTCTGTCTCATACTTCAGCTCTTCACAGAGGTATTTTTGCACCTCAAAATGTTTTACCTGAAATTTCTGTTCTCTGTAGGAGCTGGTAGAAGTTTCAGCAAGCATAGGTTTGTAGAGGTTTTTAGATTCTGCAACCGACAGGCTGAAGCTCTCTCTGATGGTGAACACTTCAGATGCTTGCTCTTCTTTACAGCATACCTTGTTATAGTGACAACTGGGTTTCTTTTCTAGCACATGCTCAGAAACTGATGGCCAGCCTGGCAATCTGTTTTCCCCAGTATTTGCAGGTAACTGGGTTTTTGAGAAAAGGCTGGAACGCTGGCCTTGTTCACACTTAAACTTTGAAGATATAACTTCACAGAGGTCACTGCCTCCTCCAATGTTTTTATCTTGAAACTCTTCCGCTTTTCTTAAATAGCTTCTTTGCTCTAGACTTCGAGCTTCCTGAACTTGAATGCAATCCATAAATTCACCTTGAAAGGAAACATGTGTTTTCTTTGATTTCTTCGTTAGCTTGTTAAGTGCTGTTTCTCTGCATAAATTGGACAGAAAGTCTTAGTCATTAATACTGACTAATTTGTTTAGCATGTGTTGAGTTAAAAGTCTTATTTCTAGAGTTAGAAAAAGAACATATTCCAAAATATGTCCATTTGTTCTATGTAACTACGTGGACCTTGTTACACACAGTCATTATCTGTAAAGCTGAAGTTACAAGAAACAGATTCTACTCTTTGTGAAAACTGAAAATCCAGAATAGCTTCATGATGACCAAACAAGGTTTCTGGTTTTTTTTTAAAGATGCCTTTAAAATGACTGCATATATTTTAAAAACTTTAAGATCCTCTCTTATTAACTAAACCCTAATTAGCTGCAGATAAGAAGCAATTACATTATATACTATCAAGTAATACAGTTACTAATTTCTTTGAGATTCATTCTGTTGAACAGTTGCAGTATAGTTATTTCAGGCAAACTGTGTGACTCCACAGCAGAAACAGAACAAAACCAACCATCCTGGACTGCCAAAAAACCCAAACAAGATTAATGTCCTGCCAAGGCAAAACTACCTTTCAGTTTATACTCCACTCTCCCTTTTCTCAGGCTGGAAGATAAAGCAGTTAGATGACTAAGATATCCCCTGCGGGACTGGGCAGCTCCAAAGACCCATCCCTTAAATGTATCTTGTTCTGCCTTAATCCACCAGCTATATACATTCGTTTTGATAAACTATAGATAGGCTTGCAGCAATTCCTCACACTCCTGTTTCTGGGGACTCTAATTCTGTTGACTAAACAAACATTTAAAATCATATCAGTTTCTTGCTAGATGATCTCCAAGGTCCCTTCCAACCCAAAGCATTCTATGATTATTATTGCACCTTCCCTTAAAAACTGTCTTATCAAAATGCCTAACGTGTAAGCAATATTGATATTTAACCTACTCGCTCAGCAATCTTAGATGTATACCTCAAATCACCACAATATCCTGCAATTAACACAGTCTACAAGCCCTCTTTTGGGTAAAAGGGAAAATACAAGAGCTATCGTCTATCCCATAAATGATCTTACACCAGATGTAAGATGCGTGTTGATGAACCCTGAAAGCAACACAACCGGTGGGGACTTGGTACTTTTGGAGATTCAGGTCTTCTAAAGATTCCTATTGACAGGGTGAAGAAGTTCAGACCATTTCCTTCTAGACTGAGCACTGAAGGTGCTATACCAAAATAGGTGGTGCTATCCCCAGAGAGCAAAATAAGGGGGAAAACTGTAAAGGTTTCAAGAGCTTTCCTGGGGGTTGTTATTGAAGATGCAAGTGTGGAAAGTTTAAGACTGAATTTCAGTCACAAGTATGATGTTTACATGGACAGTGCCCCTTAAAACCAGTAAACCAAACAACAAAAAACCCCAAACAAAAAACCCTAACACTAGTCAAGTCACTTAACAACAGACAACAGGGCTCATTAAACTACAAAGGAATAGTAACAAGAGACTTACTGACTTACTTATTCCGGTGCTTATTTCCTTGCACATGGAACTTGTACGTTTCTATAGATGTAAGTGCAATGTTACATACGCCGCACACGTAATAACCAACTCCAACTGCTGAAAAGAAGAAACCTGTAGGTTAGGGAGACTGCAAAAGGGAAAGGCAAAACTCAAACTAAACTATGATTCCATTCCATGCAAGATCCTTAACATAATGTTCCCATGAGCAGTGATTGTAGACAGTTACAAAGTCTCTGCTACAGTTTTGCACTAGAATAATGTCTACAAAAGCAGCTGGTGAAGTGTACAGTTGCTGTGCAACCATGGTTTAAACATTATCAAAGAGCATTTCTGATGACTGAAGTGATCCAAGATAATTCCAGTAACCTGTTGTCATGTGCTGATGAGACTGGACTGTACTAAAAAATTAAATACTATCGTAAATACCTGACCCAAAGCAAGCACCAACAGATACCAATCCAGTCAGTCCAGATTTGATTAAAGTGAGATCAGTTTAAACATTACGTGCTCAAATTTTTATGGTTGGTCAACCCTGTGAAGATGCTGAGGGAATTGTCAGTACAGTATGTTATGTATATGGTACCCTGAGGCAAATAGAAGGTAAGGTCAGATGAGGGAAACCCTTATTTTTTTAGGTTGTCGTTTTCTCCTCTCCTACAAGCTATGTCATCCACAGACCTAAGTACTCTGAAACCAGTGAGTAACCTTTTTCCCATGCAAACCCAAGAGCCTCATCCATTAGGGAAATGCAGCATTAATTCCAATGGGCTATTGCTTTGCATCAAAATGTATTATTTTGTTTAAATTATACTGTGACTTAGTGAGAGCTGTTTCACACCAACAATGACTTTTGACTATCAGCTGGGACTTGTAATTCCTTACTAAACAAGAGATTGACAGGACCAAATGATGCCCCTCCCCAGATTAATGGGAGTTGCACAGCAATGGGGCCCTTGGCTTTGGACACAGTGCTCAAGCTGGAGACAACGACTATTCTGGAAATTAATTTCCTTATGTGGGGAGATTGAAGTAATTAGAGCAACCAGTTTCATGAATAAAAGATTAAGGGAAGACATGACACCAGATTCCAATTATTTTAAAACAGCAACAAAAAGGAAACAAATGATTCAATTCTTGTGTCTGCCTCCTGTTCTGTGCACAGTGAAGAAACACATTGTGGTAGAGAGCATCGAGTTCAATGTCAGTAGAAGGTTTTAAGACTGAGAAGGTAAAGATCAAGAAGTCCTGGGAGATATTCCTTATGGAGGTCAGCGTTTCCAGCTGAAAAAGGAGGATGAAATTTCAAGAATGACACAGATAAAACTGATCCTGGCCTTGGAATTCAGAGATTGGGCTATTTTCTACTATCCTTTGAATTTGACTGCAGGACTCAGAGAGGACTGGATTTGGGTCTGCAAGTCAAAAAGAAGTATTTTCCAACTTACAGCTGTCAGAGACAGAACTTCAGCAGTTCATAGACCAAACAGAAAGGAAGAAATGACCTTGTTCTGTAATGCAGGAAAAGGCTATCATTCCCTTGCACACAGCAGAACAGTTCCTTGAAGCAATCCAAACCGAGCACTCGAGCTACACTCAGATTGTAACACTTGCTCATGGTCTGCTTACCACATGTGCGGAACTCTACAGGGACAGCTGTGTCTCCTAGCTCCTCCAGGATCTTTTTCCGTGCTTCATTTCTTCTGTGCTTCTTCCCAGTATAATGCTCCTGGGCTGCAAGTGGATTATTGAAGGGAGCACAGCAGAGCTTGCAGTACTTGTCCGAATCATTTAACTTCAACCTTTTGTTAGAGGATGAAGTCTCTTCAGCATTTGAAGGCAGCAAGGACATCTCAGCCGATGGCTTCTGTAAAGCTGGAGACGTGAAGTAGAGCATAAATCTGCTTACAACACAGCAAGGGAAAGGTTAGAAAAACTCCAGGGAGCAAAACAAGTGACTGCAGAAGTACAGAGCTGGAAAGGAGACCAGTTTGCTGGGGCTGAACTACTTGCAAGAGACTATAAAATATCTTAGGCCTTGCAAGGATACGAAAGTACAGACTGATAACCCTGGAATACTCAAACTCCACCATTAGATACCTGAGAATCAGCTGTGTTTGATGGCTGCTCACTCCAAGGTCCTTATACAGTCCAAGAAGAGAGATTTACCCTGCAGAGGGTGATTCAGAGTGCACACACACACTATGCTCCATCTTTAAATACAGTTCAGTAACTTGTACAGGACTAACACCATTTAAGCGTTGCCTGTGGACTAATTGTTTTTTAACTTCTTGTCATATTAATTTAGAGTAACATCTTGTTGAGACTGCAGTGAGTTCTCAAAACAACAATAGACACCCTTCATTAATAAGAAATCAGAAGTATTTGCCTTTAGTTTCAGTCAACGAAAGACAAGGAGTTTGAAAGCAAGCTTGTATGGTTTCAGAGTTGCACAAGGTAGTATCTTTGTTTATTTACCTGAGGAGTTACCACAAAACAGCTCCATGATTTCAGCAGAATAGAAAGGCACAGAGACATGGCAAGCTGAGGAATATACTTCTCTATATTTGTTTCAGAGACTGACAGGAAAACACATACAAAACAATTTAGTTTTTACCAGAAACAGGCTGCATGCTCTGTGCTGGCACATGGGCTTGACCTCTTGATAATTGCTTCAGCTTTTTAGTGTGGATCTTCCCCAAGTAGTGAGACAAAGCAACAACCGGCGAAGTTAAAATCATGTTGCAAAGATTGCAGTAATTTTGTTGGTCCAGTACTCCACTCTCATCCACCTTAAACCAAGGCAGTGGCAAGCTCAGTTACAAGCATTCACTCAAGTAAACAAGGAAACATTTTATTTAGCGATGAAGAGGAATAGTCACCTGAAAATAGACACAATCTCTTTTCCGTTTGCTGTGCTTCTGCCTCTCATCTTTCTTACCATGCATTTGGATGTAAACACGAAGTTTCTGAGCATGCTTTTTGCCCTGGGAAGAAAGTAGAAAAGTAGAATAATTCCTTTTTCAGTAACAAGGATCCAAGCAGTGAAATATCCAGTGACTGGGACATCATTCATCAAAAACCGTTGGAGTCACATACTCTCAGCTCTTTGGGGAACCAAAAAACCTGACATCTCCCTTTACAAACTGAGATGCTAAAATAGGTAAGGAAAGAAACGCAGCCATGCCACAGAGCAAGTCTGCTGTGCTCCTTTACCACCAAGCCTGGGGACTTGACGTCAAGGCACAGAAGAATGACAGGCAGCACAAGTCCAGTCTCCCCATGCAGTCAGTGGAGAGAAAGAGTTTTCCCGGGAAGCTGAGTTAAAGTATCTCCAGCTTGGAGCCACCCTATGGAGATTTCTGCACCTTTCTACTGAGGATAGAATAGTCCAGGTAACTAGAACTGGGTGTTAACATATACTTCCCTTGGAAGTAATTATTTTTTAATTCTTAGATGCTCTCTGAGCCCATAACCTTTAAACTCTTGCACTTGTAATGTACTTACCCATAAGCCACACTATACAGTGGTAACCTATAAAGTAAAACAAGTACCTTGCCTTCTCTGGCCTGATGTTCTTCAGATGTCTCTTAAGGATTCTGAGGAGCAGTGCAGGCTATTATAACAGTATTATCGAAGAGAAAGATAACCTATAATACCTGGCTAGACAATACAAGTGCAACAGATAAGAAAGAGTTATTTCCATCAATTCGTTTTGCAATGATGAAGTCAGGTAACTTCCCAATTGCCTCTTTAATCCTCAACTGGATTTTGGTCCAAGAAAGAGAAAAACCAAACTGAGGGTCTGAACTCTGATGTTCTGACAGTACAACTGCTGCTTAAGTTAAATCAGAGTAAGAAAATACAACACCTTGCAAGACCCGAGTCTTAATAATGTGAATAGCAAGAAAGACTCCTGACAGCAACTGACATTTTTAACTTTCACAAGAAAGAAAAAGACAAATGTCTGTGCCTGCAAACCTGCACACCCTCAAGATCAAGTTTCCAAATAAAGCATGCTTTCCCACATATACAGCAATACTTCAAGGCTCACAGTTGTTCCAGGAAATGCCTTCAGTATCATTCATACAACCTGCCTCAAAAAGACACAGGTGCAGCACATGTATCACTGGGTGAAGCATCAGAAGGTATGATCTCGATCCTCTCTAGCTAGCACTGCCCCTGCCATACATGTGTTCTGGCTCATATGGTGCAGATCTGATTCAATCCCATGTACAGCACACCCTGAACCTGCTCAGTTCCTTCTAAATTCATACCGCAATATTCAGGTCATTGCTTTTTACTATAGCGAACCCACAGCTTTCACATTCAAGTCTGGTTAATGTCTAAGCCTTGCATAAGCCTTGGGAAACACACTATAAAAAGTCTTAAGTGGCCTTTTATAACACCATGTAGAAACCGCAAACAAACAAACCAAAGTTCCAGTACTTGCTAGAAGAAATCCTCCCCTCCATCCTACCTCATAGTGTGATGTCCTTTGAGACTCGGACTGCAGCACCGCTCCGCAAAGCTTACAGAAAGTGTCAGTGAAAAGGTCTTTCCTTGTGGCCTCATCTAAAGCATCATCTAAATGGAAACAGCAAGAGACAAAAACCAGCCAGTAGTTAGGACAAGATATATTTGATGTTTTGTGTAAGTAAAGACATGCAATCGCTTTAATATTCACACGCAGCACAGGATGAAGGAACCAATGTTCCTTCACTGAATTGCTTTCAGTCTATAGTGAGGCACGGTGCAATGCTGTAAAGCCACCTAAACATTCCCACTTACAGAAGTATTGCTCTCATGAACTTACAAAGTTCATATAAGAGTACCTAGACTTTAAAAACAAAGATGACAGAGACTCTTCACTGGGTTTTCAGTGCATTTGAAATATGGCACAGTGTCAGAAATACCTGACTAATGGTCTAAAAAAAGAGGATTTTAACTGGAGAAGATCACACAGTTAAATACAGGAATACTCCTTAAGTAAAAGATTTAAAGAAAGTCTGGAAGCAGCTCAGTATATGAAAAAAGCTCCTGAGACCTCCTGGCCTGGGGAGGTTGTACCCGTGTCCCATAAATCAATTTAACCAATTTAGTTACATGAGGGAAAACTGCTCTACATACACTTTAATTCACGCTAAAATTGGCCCAGACTTGAAGCTATTCCTGAGTAATTGTATGTGCAGGCACATTTGAGCTGGGTGGAGGACACTCTAATGTAGTGCCAACATCATGTAAATTAAGAGAATTAAACACAGCCTTCAGAAGAGCATAGCTGTGCCAGAGCAAAACTCCCCCAAAGATAAAACTATCACCACCCCGTTCTTTCTCCTCTTAATACATTTTAAATTAGAGAAACCAGCTTAAGTCACATTGCTTGAAACACTTCTCTAGTACAGGCTATGCTTTCAGGGAGCAAGTTTACCCATGCTGCTATATCTCCAAATCTTTATGTGCTGACAAATTCTAAAACTACCCGTTTCTTTTTCATCCCCAGTGGCTCACACTTTAATTTGAACCAAGCTACAATTTCACTTTTTGGCAGGCCCTGCTCTTAAAAATAAGCCAAAGTTAAGCCAGTTTAGAGCAAAAATAAAGGAAACTGCATAATGAGACAGTTCAACTAAACCCTACTCTTCAAATGAGGCTGAGGTTAAAGGGAAAATACTGGAGAAATGTGATGTTTTAACTGGGTTTACTCAATGGTTCATCCTGGGAGCCACATGCGGAGCAGTTCACGGGCAAGAAAGGCTTGTAGAAGACTGTGGTCTCAAGGCTCGGTGCCAAAAGGCATCCAGAAACCCATAAAGGCAATCACCCTTTACTGTTATTTCTAAAGACTGCTCTCAGTCCCTTGCCAAAGGAAAGCAAACTCCAAGGGAACACGAAAAAGCAGAATTAAATACTGCGTACTGTCCCCTGTAATTCTAAATAATGGTGCTAAGCTGTGGGATGACCAGTCCACAGATTATTAGAACCATAGAATGGTTTTGGTTGGAGAAGACCTTTAAGATCAGAGTCCAACCATTGAACCAGCCCTAAGTCCGCCACTAGACCATGTCCCTAAGCACAACATCTACTCATATTTTAAACACCTCCAGGGATGGTGACTCCACCACCTCCCTGGGCAGCCCCTTCCAGTGCTTGACAACTCTTACAGTAAAGAAAGTCCTCCTAATATCCAACCTCAACCTTCTCTGATAAAACTTGAGGCCATTACCTCTTGTCTTATTAAGGAAGGACTAAGGTTGAGCCAGTCCCAGCTGCACGCACAGGTTAAAAAACCCCAAAACCCTTAAAACCAGAATATGAATTTCCGCACAAGCTGTATGCCATATTTTAACCAATATCACCCCAAGAATGTGGCTCCAGCGGAAGCCTGAAACAAGGAATGCCAAACCAACATCAACATGTGCAACCAGGGGAAAATCCACCAGCAGCTTCATGGGCACTGACAAAACCCAAGTAATGCAGCTGCAGAGACCTTCCTCAGGCTGTGGTTATGGCTAAACCCCCTCCACCTTCCCAAAGCAGCACTCCTGAACTGTTTAATATTCACATCTTAATAAAGCTGGCTCTGATGATGCTTTTGGCTGAGACTGCAACGAGGACTGGGTATCAAAATGCTGCTGTCTGACATGGTTTGCCACCAGTCCCTGATACAGGAGTTCATTTTCTAATAAAAATCTTTATTTTCACAAGGTACAATGGCCAGAGCTTTTGTATTCTGTAGTACAAGTCATCCAGAAACGTTCAATATTCTACAGTTACCGATTCCTATAGCTTAGGTGCTTCGAGCAGAGGAGTAAAAGATGGACACAATAAACACTTGAGTTGATCCACACAAGAAAATCCAATGATGTAACCCTGGGCATTAGATGAAAGCCCATCTTGCACCTGAAACACATGAACTGCCAGTGTTTGCAGCACAAAAAGCCACTTACAGAAGAAAATTGCACCAGTTTGCTCAAGTGTATTGAGCTGTAGAAACACAGCTACCTAGAGAAAGAGAAATGGAACAGTATTTGCTGTTTAAGAAAACCCACAACCTCAAACAACAAAAAAACTGCAATGCAATTAGATAGAAATCTATGAAATACTACCAGCATGGGCAGTACTTGCTATATATCAATATGCATAACCTCACTGGATAATGGATCTTTGTTTGCATGGGCAGTACTTGGTATATATCAATTTGCATAACCTCACTGGATAATGGATCTTTGTTTCAAAGACAGACTTCTTTATATTAGTTAAGGACACTATGCATATTTTCCCTGACCTAGCAGTGAACTGCACAGCCTTCTTGGCAGACAAACACCAACCAAGCGCATGCTACAAAAAACCACCTAAAAACCATTGTAATGTGAAATTAAAATTGGGTTTCTGATTCATCCTCTTCTTGGCTGACCACTGCAATGAAGAGATTGGATTACAGGGACCAGAAGTCCAGTTTTCCAAATAACTCCTATTGCGCCTCTTGGAGCCGTCCTGAACCCCGTCGTGTCCTTGTCCTCAATGGCACTGTGCAATAACTGATGGATTGCATTAATATATAATTCTAGGGACAGTTTTAAATATTGCTCTTCATTGTTACAAGTAGTTTTCATTCTTCAATAATGTAAAAAGGTCGACAGGACTTGACTTACTCAGAATTTTCCTTCTTGATAAATTTATCACATCTTCCTAGTTCTCTTTTCTCTTTATAGCACTGTATTTTTTATTTCTCACTAAGCCTTTCCATTTTCCACATAACACTGTTGGCCTTCTGGTTTAGCTCTACCTTTTCTCGAGATAAGGTTATGCACCCACAGCCAAGTCAGCAGTGATGAATGCAGAGCTACAAAAAAATCCCAGTGAAGTCTCTGACCTCAATGCTAAACCCAAGAACCAGTTTCCCCCAGGAGAGAGAGATACAAAAACAAAGTCACAGTTCGCAAGATTTGCCTTGATTTTGGAACCTTAAAGAGCTGCTCTATTCTGTTTTTCTGCATGGACAGAAGGTGACTATTAACAAATATCACATGAAACAGGTAGGGTTCCCAAACCTGTGTGACCCATCACTTCTGAAAATGCTGGGTGGACACTTCTAAAAACTCATCTGATAATTTCAGCTTCAAACCCCATGAAAACCCATACATATAAACATAGCCTTTTTATTTCTGTATAGCTAGCTGATTCTTAGCCAAATAGATATGCCTCGACTAACATATTTCTATGTGGTCTTCTGATGAACTGCATGGAGGCAAATTCAGGAACACACTGAGGTGTCTCTCACTTAAATCCCAATGGGCAGTAAGTTGGAATTGGTCTTCAGTTCGGTCTGGGTGACTGCAGACCCCTTCCCAATGGCAACCACGCACATCAACAGCCCTCTCTGCTAAATGACACGTCTCTGCTCACTTCCAGAGAGGGGTCATGAACAAGTCAGCCCTTTCTCCTTTTAACTGTGCCTCAAGACCATTCGTGAGACGCAAAAATGACAGAGCACGGGGTGCTCTACACTACCGCTGCCTGTGTGCAACCAGTTCTATAAATATTAAGCTGAACTTGAGGTCTTCAGCTTTCAGATTCACAAGCTATCTCTCCTGACAACTAAATTATTTTTTAAGATAGCTTATCTTACAGTTTGCAACCACGTCAGCACAAACTTTTCACAGAATCAATCAAAAGCAGTAGCCTTGCAAAGCTGCCATACTGACCTTGTCATTTCCCTGCCTCCAAAATGTTTAACTAAAGACACCGGTGTCATGAATTTGGAGCACCTGTTCAGATCAGCTTTTTGGCATTAAGAAATGATTCACTGCAGAACAAACCAAGTACTGTTTGCCACAAAGGGACTGCTCCTTAATAAAAGGATAAGAATAAAAATGTTTTTAAAAAAATAATCTCATGTCCTGTATTTCTAATAAAAGATAACTGCTAACATCAGGTAAGGACATCACTAAAGGATACAGGGTCTCGTATGGTAGACTAAAATAACTTTGGGGCTTCAGTAGTCTTGAAGGTACTCTATTTACATGAAGATATGTGACCACACAGGGCTGAAAACAAGAGTGCAATTCTTGATTTGCAAATGTCTCAAAGCACCAAGAAGGATTAAAGTCCATCTCTACTGGGTATAGTACAAGCATAAAAAAGGAGCTTCTGCTCCAATGTAAGGTGGCACTGACCACGGCAAAAGAATGCACACAAATGGGAAGGAGTCAGGATGACAACAGACAATTACAGAAACATGAGGTGTGGTATTAACCATGTGTAGTTACAGACTTCTTATTTCAAGCAAACAATCATCAGCTCACCAACACACCACCTGTCTCACGTGCACCATTTGCTTTGCCCCATTATAGAATCATGGAATGGTTTGGGTTGGAAGGGACCTTAAAGCTCATCCAGTCCAACCCCTGCCATGGGCAGGGACACCTCCCACCAGACCAGGTTGCCCAAAGCCCCGTCCAACCTGGCCTTGAACACTGCCAAGGAGGGGGCATCCCCAGGTTCTCTGGGCAACCTGGGCCAGGGCCTCACCACTCTCACAGTAAAGAATTTCTTCCTAATATCTCATCTAAATCCCTCTTTCA